TCCTGCTGACCATAATTCTCCTTGTGGGTAACAGTGCCATCAGATCAATGCTTCACTGTTCCCTCTATCCTATCTTTTCCAGAGCTAGGTGTTAGCAGCAGTTCCATTGCCTGATACTAAACTAGTAATATTCTCCTACTTTAATAGAAAGAGGGATATAAACAGATTTGCTCTGTGTAGCACTGTAAACTGTCCCATATAGATCAAGATTTCAGACAATTTTAGATCTTTGCAGCAAAACTAAATCTTGAAATTAATAGAGATTTTTTTCTTTCTTTTATTTTCCCCCCATTTTTTTATTTGGCTTTCTCCCTTTTCCTTTTCCACTTATGCACTGCAATTCTATGTCCTCTGAAAAGACACTTTGTGGAAAGGCAGTTTTTTGCCGCACATGACACTGAAAGAAATTACTGCACAGTGCAGAGGGGATTGTTATGGACTAGTAAAAAAACTGTAAGCAGCTGCAATTTCTTTATCACCTTGTATTGACATAGTGGTATCTGATGCGATGGAGGTTTAGAATCTTTCCTGTTGAATATCTCACACTTTCCTCTCTGGGAATTACAGAGTGTTTATGCCTTGTGCAAAAAACTGCCAAGCATCTGATAGAACAGCCACAGTGAGATTAACAGCGGTTGTTTAGACCAGCTATAAAAATGCAGTGATATTCTTCATGCTCATATTTTCCCAAGTATACAGGGTACCTACTTAAATGAAAATTTCAATTCTGGAGCAGAAGATGGCAGCATACAGAAGAAAATATGTTGTTTCATGAACCATTACAATTTTGGATGGCTTCCATAGAATAACATTATTAATAATATACAGAAATCTTTTCTATGATATAATTAGATGTTCCTGGAACCAGGGATGGGTAGAAAATGGCTTTCTAGCCTGGTGCTTTGCAAACTCACTTGTCAGACACCGAATTTACAAGCTTTTCTCCAGATTCCAGAAAAGATGCGGTTGCTGTTAATAGATGAGGGGAAGTGCTGCCTACAGCCTGGAGTTAGCCTGCTACCTCCCTGAGAAACATTTCCTCTTGGCTTATTTAGGCAGATCGCTGTTACAGCAGCCTAGCTTCAGACTGGGGCAGAAAGAGTCTGAGTATCTCTGTGCATAATATAGGGAACTTGGCTGCCTAATCTGGAGCTCTGGATTCAGCCTGGGAGCAGGTGTTACAGTGATAAGCACAGCTCATATCTCTGGCTTTAGCACTAAAATCCTTCGCTGTTTTACTCCCTTTAGGAATGCAGCCCATCTAAACGCTCCATGAGCGTATGCCCTGCCAATATTATGCTGCTCCTTGTATGGTGTGAGGCTGTTTGAGCTAGGAGAAATCACAGAAAGCCTGGTGACTGGCTCCCCATCCCAATGTGTCATTGTTACAGCTAAAGGAAACCTGTAAAGCATCAACCAAGGGGCTCTCAGTGAACATGTTGCTTGTGGACAGCATGTGGAGAAGGGTGCATTTTAGTGAGGAAGTTACCAGACCTCCTAAACTTACAATGTTCTCATTGTTCCTTCCTCTGTCCTCCTTCCAGATTTTGTGCTTCATAGGAGGCAAAACTTATCCGTTGTGAATTTCTTATCTTAACCTTTAAGATCCCAAACTTAAGGTGTGGACAGTTGTCTGCTTCTGCATCCCATTTTACTAGGAGACGAGAACAATCTGTACTGGCACTTCCTAATCCACTTCAAACAAAATCCAATTTACTTGAATGTTTTAGATAGGTCTGAGTTAATTTCACCGATACACCGTAAGCAAATTACCTAAAGGTCTCATTGTGCATTTTATCAAAAACTTGTGGCTCCCGCCGTTGCCTGCAAGTATCACTAGTTATAGAGTGCTTTTCAGCTTGCAGCCACTCTGCATATTGAAGGAGCATTAATGGAGATGAGGTCTTTTGAAAGTCTTTTCGTACCCCAGTGCGGAGCACAGTTGAAAGCAAACCACTTACTAAAGTGGTTGAGATGTTTTTGATTACTTTTGTCTTCTGTTACAACTGGTGCTGAAAACTCTGTAGGATGCTTAACTGTGTTATATCCATAATTTAGATGTACGGTAAGAGGGCACCCTGGGAGGATCCCTCCAGGTGGGTCGCTGATACCTATCCATGGAGCTCTGCATCTCTGCAGCATGAGTGGCCTTCGTTACTTCAGTTAAGACCAGAAGATGTTGGTTATGAAGGTTATGCATCAGCAAAAGAAGGAACAACCCCAAAGCATGTTCCACAGACGGATACAGAGGGGGATCCCTTGGTAAGATTTAAATTTCCTGGAAAAGGCTATTTCATATTTACTTCACTGTTAAATTGTACACTGTACAGTAAAAAAAAACTCTACTGTGAACCTGTTCTAAAATAGGCTTTCAAAATTAATCCTATTATAATATTTTAAAAAGGATGAAAATAATAGTAAGATCTAGCAGGAGGGCAGGTATCACCATCACATTAATATGCCCCTAAATTGTTTGCATTTCCCAACTGCCCATAAATTTATCTGGACTTCATCATTATAATGTTTGGGTAACACTCTTCAGCAACTTATTAATCAGTTTGTTCTAAAAATAAGGACTTTTGGGCAGTCCTTCATGTACATTCTACAAATGAAGGTCTGAGACACTCGCATTGTCTAACCTATCATAGAGAATTCAGTGGAAATGCAAATTAGGCAGTATTCCTCAGAATATTTCAAGGTAACTGATGACTGTATAACAGTCTTAATGTAGAAGGAATGTAAGTGTGGTGGCATTAAAAGATAAGAGGTTGATTTCTCTCAGTGTTATGCATTGTTTTATTTAAATATAATCCCAGACATCTGGGTTTACCATTGCTTCCTCAGATAATGGACTATTAAATTGCATATATTGAAGTGCAATTTTTGTATAGTGCTTTCTCTATAGGCTGCCTTTATCACAATTCAAAATGCCATTTTTGAGAACTATACTTCTGGCATACAGACAGCTCTTTGAAAAAGGAATTTCTCAGAGGAAAATGCATTTAACTCTTATCAGAGCTAAGAAAATAACTCCTCAGCCTCACTAGAGTGTTTTGTATCTAAAACCAGACCTTGCATCCTGAAGAAGTGTAGAAAATCACCTCATGTGATCCCCTGTCTCACAGTCCATAAGCTTTGGGGTGATTGTTTGACCCTGTGACTTGGGCTACCAGTGAGTGTATTGGCCAGGCTTCACCACCAAGATGAAAATACTTGGGCAGCTTGAGTTCGGCGTCCCATCACCCTCGCTCATTGCACACCCCGATCAATATCTGTGTCTGAGGAATTACCAGGAGCTTGAAAGTTGTGAAGGGAGGGCTTGTCCCTGCCTGTCGTGGTGCTCACAGTTGTGGACACATCACGTGTGGGCTGTATTGCACACTCACTGCATGTATCCTGTATTCTCAATTATGGATAAAGGTACCTGATAGCATTAAAGACTATTGAACAATGTTCAGTGCCTAGAGAAAACTTTACAAGCTGTGGAGGTTGAAACCATCGAGATGTAAGGATTCCTGAGCAAACTGGAAAAAAGAGCTGAACACACAAACACACAAGCATATTTCTTTTTCTTTGTTTTTTTAGTGCCTCTTCTTTTTTGTAATGACAGCATATTTGCTTCTTGAAAAACACTAAAGCAGTGTCAACACTGCTTGCAGCCCTGAGCATGTTGGCAGAAGCGGATGTTTTATAAATAAATCCTGATCATTACACAGAGTTAGGCATCAAGCCTCCAAATAATTTTCTGGGGCATGATGCTGCTTTTTGATGATTTTTCAGATGGGTTTCAGGTTCTAATAATCCCCAAATTATGTGGGGGCTGTCCTCTCCTGAGTAGGAGAATCTGTTTCTGCTCCCCTGCCAAGGTCAGCCCCTTGACAGCAGGTGGGATTCTTTTATGAAGCAGCTGGCCTTGGTCCACCCCTCCCTCGCTCCCTCCCCATTTCTCTCTTGCAGAGGGGGTATGTTAGTGTGATTATGTTTTCAGCTGCTTTTCCAATGTAGTGTGTCTATGCCATCCAAAAATTATCTGGAAGCTTGACTGTCTCCAAATATGGACCCAGATGTCCAGCTATGATATGGTTTCCTTCCACTGGCCGTGCTGCAGCTGCAGCCGGTCTCACCCCTGAATTGAAGAGAGTTATCAGGCAGCTCCATTGTGTCCCCCTGGCTCCTTGGATCTTTAAACTTCTATTTAAAGACCAGAAGGCAATGAAAAAGGTGCCAGGAGGAGCCGCTGACACCCTGCCCTTTCTGAAATCCTTTCGTACGGTCCCCTCAGCTAGATACCAGCACACCTCATACAGCAAGGGAGCTTAATTAAATTTTAACATGGTCACTGCAGCATTAAATGAGATGAGATTATGTAAACATTGCTTTCTTCTTTCAGATGAATATGCTAATGAGGCTTCAAGAGGCAGCCAGCTATTCGAGTGCACAAAGCTGTGACAGTGATAGCACCAGCCACCATGACGACATTTTGGATTCATCCCTTGAATCAACTCTCTGAAAGGGACAAACCTTGGTGGAGGATTATGGTAAAATCTGTTTCCACTAGACCACTGCCAGTATTAAAGCAGCACGCCGAGGGCCCTGAGTGAGAACGGTGTGTTGTAGGTAGGCAGGACCCCTAACTGCAAAGTCAGGAAGAAAAATTGAAGTGGAAAGCTTGAATGAGTTTAATTTCAAGGCATTTCAATACCTATGGAGCCAAGTGAGCCTCCATTTGTCAACTGGAAAGGGCCCTAGACCAAGGGCATCTAAGCAGATTGCACACATGTTAGCCGAACTGGAATATTTTTTTCCCTTTTCCTCTTTCTCTCTCTCTCTGTCCCTCTGTCTCTGTTTCTCTGTACAAGTTTACAGTGCAACTTCTTTTGTTTTTTTCCTTTAGTTAACCCTGAGGCCCTGCATGAACAATGCGGTCTTCTAATTCTCTTCTAACCTCTGTTGTGCCACATGGTGCTGGTCACAGGACTGCAGTGGTGTTTGTGTTGTACGCTACTGCCCATTCCAAAACGAGTCAAAGATGATGATAGTAACTCAGAAAGCACAAACAGTATTGTGCAATCACCAGAAAACATGACTGTGATATGCTGGATAAGTGCCAATTTAATTCTAACTGCCATGGTCATGGTGATGCGCTCCATCAAGTTTTTAGTACACGAGTCACAGATTTTATAAAGTTGTTTTTACCACAAAGGTCTTTTTTAACCACCTGCCCACTCCTTAACAACAGTTTTATACCAATTATTAACCAACACTGATTAAAGGCTTTTTAGGGCTTCATTTGTTTGAGCCTTTTCAGTGGAAGAAGGAACATTTCTTATGGTGCTGTCTCACTGCCTTAAAACAGATTTCTAGAACAGTTTTACAGTTGGTTTAATTCCTAAACCATTGGTAATTTACACTGTTTTTTTCTTCATTTACTAATGAGAAAACGTCAGTTAACACAGTAGCCTCATATCTGTATATCATGATTTTTTAAAGAAATGGATAGGAGAAAGAACAGTTGCTATATAATATTTTTATCTTGTGAATAGATTGCTCTGCCTACCCTCAGAAATACACAAGGAACCCAAACCCACTTCCACTGCCACCTAAATGCTGAGAAAATCGGCTCAAATCCATTTGGTCCCATGGAATGGAGTTTTTGGAGGATAGATGTTTTGAATTCTTATCCAGCAGAGCTGGATGCACTTGATGCAGCATGAGCACAAATATATGGTTTTTTTTCTTTTCCTTTTTCTAGTTTTAGCATGTTGTTTTGATTGCTATTGTTGTACATGAAGAATTCAGCATAAAAGAACACTGAAGCAGTGATGTCCACTGTGGAAGAGGAAGAGTTTATACTGTAAAAGTGGGTTGGTTTTGCACAGTCTACTGGGTGGGTATTGTAAATATCGAAAAAAAAAAGGACAAAAAGAAAAAAAAAAAGCCTTGCACAAATCAAATCGAAAACAAACAAACAAAAAAAAATTGTATTTTATTCTGTTGGTGTTAAGAGATGTTTCACTTGCTGAGATTTCCTGTATGTTGCAAACAAATACAGAATGCAAACCTTAAAAGCTGTTATTACCTGGTGTGTTTGTCCTGTATTTACAGTTGTTATGACTATGCAGGAGTTATCAATGCTACAGTGAGCATGTTTTGATATCTATATGAAGCCAATACATTCTGGGGGGAATAAATCCGAAAATGTTTTAAATGCATAGGTCATGGCAGGCTACAACCAGATTGCATTCAAACCGCTCAGAATAACCGGAAACTCTTTTACCACAAGAGGCATCCGGTTACCATAGGTGCATATACACAAGAAGGTACCTAAGGGCTTTGGCATTGTGTAGACATGTACTGTACACCTCCACGGATGTTACCTTCAGGATGTGTATTTGGTGCTATTAACTCTTCGTGGTCACCCTGTGGTCACTCGCTGTAAAACAAAGATAAATCAATGCAGTTTCCAAATGGCACTGAGCTGCATCGCTGAATACAGAGGTTCCTACACGGTGCTACTGCCCTGTAAAACTCCAACTGACTTTATGCATGTAGGATTCAGTCAGACCAACATCATGCCCCCCCAGATCTGGATCCATTGTTGTTGCAAAACGTCAGTGCATACACCCTCACTGACTCAAAGAACTAAAGGAAAGCTGCCCTTTCCTGTACCTGTGCTCTGAGCAATCCTGCAGATCTTTTCCTGCCATACTTAACACACAAACACACGATGTCACATATACAAAACTTCCTGCAATACATCTCAGTGAGTCCACCTAGTTTACAACTCAGAAATTGTTTGTGAAACATTTGTCTGTACACATTTTATATTTTGTACATTTTTGATGTAACATATCATGTAAATAGACAGAAACAGTGAAATAAATCATCTGAAAAGTTTTGTAGTCTTTGTAAAGCCCTAATAATAAGTATTTGGTGTCATCGGACTTAACTGGATGATGTATTTTCTATTGGTTTATTGTTCCTCTAGCTTGTAAACCAGCTTGCGTATATTTTTTTGCAGGTGTGCACACTGTATCTGTCTAAATTATTACTTTGCCATTAAAGTGGAATTATTTATTGAAAACACAGTCTGGTGTTTTTGCAGTCAGGACCACTTAACAGATATGATTTCAAATATAATAACATATAAACCAAATGACACACTGAAGGATGTAATTTTCTCTATTCAGCAGAACTGATCTCTGTAGAAACAAGATTAAGTACTGTTTCTAGTTCCAGTGATTCAGTATGATTTTTTGGAGTGTTTTTTTCCATGGTGGGAACAGGTTGTGCAGCTCAGAATCCACTTTACAGTCTCCCTGTTCTCACGATTATCTTCAGATAGGAGGCTATTAATTTCAGCAGTACCTGTACAAAACTGGTGCAGTATTATGCCTTATTGTCAAACTTGAAGGACTTAGGGCTATTTCCTCAGCAGGTATACATCAATATGATTTAATAGAATCCAAAGAAAGAAAGTAGAATTGTGTTTGTCAGCTAATCACAGGCTTTGAGGCTGGAAGAGATCATTATGATCCTGCAAGTTGGAGGACCTCAGCTATAAGTCTCAGCAGCAGGCCTGTAATTTCTCCTGAAATTGTCACATCCCTGGAAACACCTTTAGATATAACAGTACAAAGCAGAAGATCCATCACCTCGCTGTCAATGTGGCTAATTATTCACTGGTTGGGTTTGTTTTTTAAAGGGTTTATTTGCAGTTAGAGCTTACATATCTCTTTTCAAGAGAAACATACCCGAAACTGGTTTTTGTTATGCTTTTTCCTCTTATACTAAAAAGCCAACCACAATCAAAACCATCTTTTGCATTTAAGTAATGATGATTTTACTTTTGCTACAGACAGAGCTAGTACCACCTTCCTACTCCCACTTCATATTTTCCCTGCTTAGGTTTCAGGGCTGACATTCACTCTCTAATTGCATCATCCTACTGTAGGCTCATGTTCAGTTAATTATCTACGAAGACCCTGACTTCTTTTCATGTTGCATCATTTTGAAATACTTTGTCCAATCCTGTCTGTATAAACTATGCTCTTTGCTCCTTAGATGTAGAATTGCAAATTTATCAGTATTAAAACAGGATATTCAAATACACCCACTCTACCAAACAATTCAGATCATTCTTTACAATTGTCATTCAATTTACCACTTCACTAGCATTCTCGACTCCCAGAAACTGCTAATCATCACCTTACTTTGTCTTGCAGTTTGTAGGTAAAGGTAGTAAGCAATTTTGGGTCAAGAACAGACCCCTGTTGAATCCTGGAAGATTTCTGGTCTATAGCTACGTGGGTGGATCTCTGATGTCATGGGTATATTTGTGTTTCACTTAATGTGGGTATGAATATCAGAATGTCATACACAACCATGGGGGTATGATATTATAGGAAATACATGATGAGTTACATGGCTTTTCCATCACTCTAGGTCTCCAAGGTTGGATTATATTAGTTTCTGTTGAAAATTAGATATGTAGAGCTGATCTTACACAGAAAGGGGAATAGACTAGATGACTTTAGCCATCTCGGTGTGGCTGTTCTATAGTGCAGTGCTGCAGTCTCTGCACATTATCCAGCTGCCACTACTTAAGAGAAAGAATATGAAATTTAATTGTCAAACCCATTCTGTGACTACTGTCTCAGCACATCTACCTGTTAGCCTTCATCTGGAGACGTGCCTGGTGAATGCTCAGGTTCCCAGGACAGGAACAGGAATGGGATAGAGCAGCCTTTGGAAGAAAAGTGTTCTTAGCAAAGTACTTGAGACATCGCTTTTGCCTGCAAGAACTCAACTTTCATGCTATCAGTAAATAGCCACTGTGTTTCTCAGCGTGCGCTACTTTTTCTTGATCACTGAATAATGTCACACAAATTAAATGCTACCACTAAGTTTGGCAAAGCAAGAGCTACAAATGCACCATCATGGGAGAAATGTATTGCTGGGTAATAATACCAGTAGCAGAAAACAGAACCTGTCATGAAAGATAAATTAACTAAGACCCAGGCCATGTGACCTTGCCATTCCACACTAAATTGCATTTACTGTTCTTTGTTCAATTGCAACCTTAAACAAACGTTGATAAATAGCAACGAGTGAGCACACTGAATGAAGCAAAGTCCTGGTTTTAGTAACAAATTTCATAAATTAAATAATGTTTTGCCTTTGACAGTGTATTCACTTGTTTTGTAAGCAGTTTTTATTAAATCAGATTACATAATTTAGGAAACTAAAATATATCTTGGTAATTAAATGTCAAAGCTGAAAAAAAAAGAAAAAGGCACCTGGTAACTGCTATGTAACAACATAAAACATTTACATGGTGGCACATAACCAGCACTAATGATTTTATCACACCATAAATGGAAGGCTCTGAAAAAACAAAGTATCAGACAAAATACATGTCTGTATGACCAAACCCCAAGGATTTAATAAGTAATTTAAAACAGTAAACTCTATTTTAGCACTGATAATTCAATGCACCTTAAATATGTCCAGCTAATCCCGTGTTCTGCACTCTGCAAGTGCCATGGAAAGACATAAACAGACTGAAAAAAACTCAGACTCTTCGGTGCAACTGTTATTGCAGGTAAGCTGATCCACTCACATAGGCTACGTACAATAAAAAGATGTGGCTTCTGTACAGCAGTCACTGAGTCACAAGGAATAACTGGATAGCAGAATGAATAATTTAGTTTCATCATTATCACTTTCTTCATATAACTGTTATGATGTTTTGTGCACCCTGTCCCTGCTCAGCCAGGTCAAGCTAATGGCACTGTATTTGACTAGTGGTACTGACTCGTGATTGTGGCTGGGAAAAGCCACACTGGAGGCAAAATCTTACATCTTAACTGAACGAATATTACAGAGCAAATGTAGTTTTCATCTAGAGGAAATAAGAATCATAGAATCACAAAATGGTTTGAGTTGGAAGGGACCTTAAAGACCATTTAGTTCCAACCCCCTGCCATGGGCAGAGACACCTTCCACTGGACCAGGTGGCTCAAAGCCTCATCCAGCCTGGCCTTGAACACTTCCAGGGATGGGGCATCCACAGCTGCTCTGGGCAACCTGTTTCAGTGCCTCACCAACCTCTCCTGCAAGAATTTCTTCTTGATCTCTAATC